AACATCTAAAATCATCACCAAGTAGAATGTATGAAAATGTTTGTTTCTGCATGTTAGTGTTAGATTACATCTAAATACCTAACATTACCTAACTTATATCAAATATTATTCATTTATTAAGGCAAAAAGACAAAAGCAGCTTATTATGATACAGTGTATATAGTTTATATATTAGTATATGTGTACTTTTAAGTATATACTATACTAATTTATATTTATGTTATATTATTTAAGAGTGGAAAGAATGCAAAATCCAAATTATTATTGGTTTAGGGTGCTGGGATTATACTAAATTTTATTTTCTAATTTAAAAAATGTAATTTCTCCTTGTGTTCTACTTTTTCTTTTAAAGTACTGTACATGTTGGCAGTGGTAGCCCACCCAAGTCTTTAATCCCAGCTCTCAGGAGACAGGCAGAGGCAAGTGTATCTCTATGAGTTCACAAAACAAATTTACAGGGTGGTGGTATCGCTTCCCTCATATGAGATACACCCTTTAAATGCCAAATATCCATCTACGTTGTATCTTTCTTTAAAAAATAAGTATGTAAGTGTTTATGTATGTGCATGAGAGAGGAGGAGGAGGGAGAGGGAGAGACGACCTACACTTGAGCATGCATGTGCAAATATCAGTTTGCAGGAGTTCATTCTTGCCTTCTGCCTTTTTGAAGTGCAGGGTCAGTTGCTCTTGCTTCTACAAACTAGTCTAGGAGATTTGTCCTATCTCCACCTCTTGTTTTAATGTAATGCTGGGATTACAAATACCTGCTGCCACTATGGCTTTTTACATGGGTAGTGGGCATTGAATACAGGTAGCTAGGCTTAAGAGGTTTAGTGTTTTACCTACTGAACCACTTCCTTAGCTCCTTTCTTTTTTTACCCTTGTAGTTCAGCATTGTTAACATCATTTAAGAATAATTTATTTTGTTGTGAAATTAGAAGCATCCAACTAAGTCATTAATGTTTTGAAATGCATTTAATCATAACCCACATCCAGAAAATTGTATTAAATGTAAATTTAAGAGTTTAAGAAAGTACTGTACATGTTGGCAGTGGTAGCCCACCCAGGTCTTTAATCCCAGCTCTCGGGAGACAGGCAGAGGCAAGTGTATCTCTATGAGTTCAAGACCATCCTGGTCCACAGAGATACTTCCAGAACAGCCAGGGCTATTACACAGAAAAACACTCTCTCAAACAAACAAAAGAAAAAGCACTATACAAGGGGGCTAAGGAAAGGTTACGTTTCTACAGTTCTTACAGCACAAGCATGAGGAATTGAGTTCAGATCTCCAGTGCTCATGGAAAAGAGTATGTGCCTATTTTCCCAGTGTTGATGTGGAGACAGGAAGGATCCCCGGAGCTTATTCCTAAAGCATAAATCTATTTTTCATTATTAGTAATAAAAAGTTATTCAGTTGTTTTCATCTGACATCTTTTTTTAATTAACATTATTTTAGACTTATGTGTAACGATAAATCTTTCTGCCAGGGCTGCCCAAGCCCTGCCACCACGTGGGAGCTTTCCACCAGCTGCCCGAGTTCCGCCCGAAGCATTAGGGCCCCAAATAATACACAGAGACTTATATTAGGTACAAATGCTGCTGGGCAATTGACTAGGATTTCTTATATGCTAGCTCAGTCTTAATTATCATAAATCCATGTATTTTATAAGACCTATGGAGGATGCCAGCAGTTAGCGCCCTCTCTTGCTGGTGGATCACATGGTGGCTCCAGAGCAGGAAGGAGAGGAAGAGCAAGAGAGCGACTTCCTGTTTGTCCCTGCTTATATACGAGTCTGCCTGCTATGTCACTTCCTGCCTGTATCACAAGACTTCTTTTTACTATATTTCCCAGAATCCTCAACTCCTAGTCCCACCTAACTTGCTCCCCTATTGGCCAACAGTACTTTATTCAACAACCAATAAGATAAACACATACAGAAGGACATCCCCCATCACTTATGTTTTTCAAGTGTATGAGTGTTTTGCTTGCATTATATCTGTGCACCACATGCATGCCTGGTGTCTTTGGAAGTCAGAAGAGGGGTTTGGATTCCCTGAAATTGGAGTTCAGTTGAGCCATGCTAGGAATAGAACCTGGGCCCTCTGGAAGAGCAGCAAGCCATCTATCTCTCCAGCCCCTCTGTATAGTAGGCTTTCTTGGACCACCAACCAACTCCCAAATCAATACATGGAGACTTGAAATTATGAATGGTTGGCCTTATTTATGCTTGTCTTACTAGCTCTTACAACTTAATTTAACCAGTTTCTCTCATCTACATTTTGCCACGGAGCTTTTTACCTTTCATTCCTACTTTTCCTGATTCCTCTGAGGCAGGTGGCCCCACCCCAGCCCCCTCCCTTTCTTTCTCCATTGTTCTCTCCCCACCCCCAGCCTAGATTCCTCCTCCAACTTGTTTCCTCTGCCTGCCTGCCACCCCCGCCTATCCCTCTATTGCCTCTCTATTGGCTGTTCAACTCTTTATTAGACTAATCAGGTGCCTTAGGCAGGCAAGGTGAAACATTCAACACATCTTTATATAAACAAATGTAAGACACCTTTACATAGTTAAAGTAATATCCCACAACTGTGTCTTAATTCTTTAAAGCTCTGGTGTGTTTTTTTTTTTTTTTTTTTTTTTTTTTTTGCTTATTTGGAATGTGTACATGAACAGACTGAATTATTTGTTTCCTAAGCAAATGATTTTTAAACAGAAATTTGTAGGTAGTATACTACTTAGCAAAATGAAATTTCTGAAAATGCAGATTTACCTAGAAATAGAAAGACAATGTAATTGTTTTAAAAGTATTTGTTCTTGAACTGGTGATGGCTCAGAGTGAAAGCAGTTGCCATGCAACCCTGACAACTCAACTTCCACAAGCTTCATCCCTTCAGCCCACATAAAAGATGAAAGGAGAGAACTGACTTCTTTAGCTTGTCCTCTGACTCCTCACTTTGCTCCCCTCCCATTACATGTATACTAGAAACACCCCCACCCACACACACACACACACACACACACACACACACACACACACACACACACACTTTGGTTTTTCAAGATAGGCTTTCTCTGTAGTTCTGGCTGTCCTGGAACTCACCCTGAAGACCAATCTTGCCTCAAACTCACAGAGATCCACCTGCTTCTTCCCAAATGCTGGAATTAAAGGTGTGTGCTGCCACTACCCAGCTTCACCCAAATATTTTTAGAAATTGAGTTTTGTTATAGGATAAGAGGTAGACGAAACTGAGAGCATGAAAGCAATTGAAACTTCCTTTCTAAACTCATCCTCTACTATAAGTGAAATCTTATTTTAGGATTCTCAACTAAAGATTTTATATTTTAAAATCATAAACATTTTTATTTTCTGAGTGTGTTTGTACTGCATGCAGTGCCCTTGGAGGCCTGAAGACTGCATTGATCCTCTGTAACTGGAGTTACAGACAGTTGTGAGTCTCCATGTGGATGATGGGAGCTGAACCTGGGTCCTAGACAAGAACAACTGCTCTTTATTACTGAGCCATCTCTTGAGCCCTGTTCCCCATCAGAAATATTAAGTATATTTTCATGCTGTTTTGTAATTTTCTCATGGACATAATTTTAGTTGCCTCTTAGCAACTCTGCCATTACTGTGAATGTGTGTTGATAGTCTCATTGTAGGACGAGGTTAACAAACTGTTATCTCTCTTGTTGTTTTCATGCCTGTGACCACTACTGTGATTAGATTACACATCTAAAGAAATGGGTACTGTTAAATCAAGCTCTTTGTACCCGTCTAACTCAACCCTAACCCAATCAAATGAAATATTAGTGTCATTTTAATTTGGTTGACTAAAATTCAGATGAACCTCAGTATGAGCTGGGTTCTTAATAACAAAGCATTTGAAATGTGTTTTTATGACTAAAAATGATGGCTCATGTGTCACAACTTTTGGTTTATCACAAGCTTGTACAATTTTGACTATTTCCTGGGTGAAGAGATGGAATTGTAGTTTCAAGCTTACCTGTGACTCTGTTGTTTTCAGTTTTTATCTACTGAAGAAATTAAGAGTAAGTGAGACTGAAAAGTTGTAGTCAAATGCTTATTTTGCTGGACTGTTAATTGGCCTTATGGGGAAAAGAAGAAATTCTGGCACATGCTGCAACATGGACAAACCTTCAAGACTGTTGTCTTGAGATGCTGTATGATTCCATGTGCATGAAGTACCTAGAGTAAACAAGAGAATGATGTTTGCCAGGGCCTGGGAGGAAGAGAGATGTGGGGTCTCACTGTAAAGTAAGTGTAGTTAATACATGGAAGTGACGAAAAGTTCTGAAAGTGGATGGTAGTGCCACAGGGTTGCACACTCATAAATTATTAAAATTGTATTTTGTACATTTTATCACAGTGAAACATACTCTTCATCTGAAAGTTAGAAAATAAGAGAACATGAAGTCAGACTCACTGGCTAAGTGTAGACATGGACTTTTTTTTTTTTTTGAGACAAGATTTCTCTCTGTAACAGTCCTGGCTATCCTGTCTTGCTTTGTAGATCAGGCTGGCCTCGAACTCAGAAATCTGATTGCCTCTGCCTCCCAAATGCTGGGATGGAAGACATACACCACCAAACAAACAACACAAAAAAAAAGCTATAATTTTTGTGACCTTAGTAGTGTGAATTTTAAAAGGTTTTCTTCATTTTAAGCTGGGTAGTAGTGGCACAGCTGTGCAGTGGTGGTACACTCCTTTAATCCCAGCACTCAGGAGGCAGAAGCAGGTGGATCTCTGTGAGTTTGAGGCCAGCCTGTTCTACAGCATAAGTTCTTGGACAAGCTCCATAGTAAGTTCCAGGTCAGCCACTTCTACATGAGACCCTATATCCAGACACATACATATGTATGTGTCAAGTATGTATATAAACAGTAAATTACTTAGTTAATTTCTGTAGGCCAGTTAAAGACTAAGCATGTCATAGTATAATAGTGTTTGGAATGCCTGATATAAATTATGAAACTTTGTTTTAATATAGACACTAAATGCTTTTTTTTCTTTTCAATTTCAGTAAAAAGTCCCAGAAGTGGGATGAAATGAACATCCTGGCAACATATCATCCAGCTGATAAAGACTATGGTTTGATGAAAATAGATGAGCCAAACACTCCTTACCACAAGTAAGGTGATATAGACATCCATTTGCATTGATACAATTTCTAAATAACAGAAACTTTAAATTGTTTATACATATATTTGTTTTGTTTTTTTCAAGACATGGTCTCTCTCTCTCTGAAACAGTCCTAGCTGTTCTGGAACTCATTCTGTAAATCAGGCTGGCCTCAAACTCAGAGATCCTCCTGCCTCTGCCTCCCAAGTGCTGGGATTAAAGGCACGAGCTACCACCACCACCCAGCTGTTTTATGTTTCTTACTAGAGTGCTAGCTAATGGACTACCTGAATACATTTTTGTTAATAATGTGTGACTTCACATTATTGTAGTCGTGAATGTTACTGTACCCGTGAATATGATTACACCTGGATGGTGGTTGGCTGCTGATACACACAAATTAGTGAGTTTTGTCTTCTCTTTCATTGCTGTGATTTTTATTTATGTGTGTGTGTATATGATGTACAGAGGTGCATGAGGAGGATACAAACTGAAGTCAGATCCCTTGGAGCTGGAGTCAAAGTGGTGTGAGCTGCTTGATGTGAACGCTGAGACTTACTCTCAGGTCCTGTCGAGCAGCAAGCACTTTCACCTGCAGACCCATCTCTCCAGCTCCAAATTTTGTTGTCTTTGAAAGGAAGATGAGACTTGGGGTATTATTTTTGCTCCCCAAGTAGAAATCAGAGACTTGTTTAGCAAAAAAGGGAAAGCTTCATGGACGACAGATAGTTGTAGTTCTGGTAGTATGATTTTGGCATTTTAACTCAATTTTTATTTTTTATTTGAGATATGATCATACATTGTATTTCAGACTGGCTTGGAATTTATCATATAAATAAGCTGGCCTTAAAGTCAGAGTAATCCTCCATCAGCCTCCTGAGTGTTGAGATCACAGGGTGTGAGCCACCAGGTCCAGTTAGTATTTTAAAAAATAATCGTGAAGTGATATTGTATAGCGGTATCCAAAAGAGACAAAAGTAATGCAATGATAAACATTATGAGACAATACCGATTCTACATAAGCAACACTTAATTAAGATTATGGAAAAAAAGATTATGGCTTAATCTGTATTGAAAAAGATTTCCAGGAATAAAACATTTTTTTATCAGTAAGATAAAATGTTTATCAGTAAAGATAAAAAATCATGTAAATCTGTAGGTCATGTGCTTTTATTCTTTTGTAATTTTATTCATAGGGTTTCCTGTAACCCAGGTTAGCTTGAACTTGATATATAGCCAAGGAAGATTTTGATTTTCTGATCCTCCTGCCTACATTCATAGTACTGGAATTAACAGGACTTAGGGAGATAATGTGATGCTAACAGAAACAGTACAAATACACATAAAAATGTTAAAGTCCATGACAGAAATAGTGAAACAGAAGATACAGATAAACTAAATAGTAATGAAACTTGAGGAAAGCATATGTGAGGAAGTTTATGCCCTTTTTCTTGTTAATTACAGGGTACACTTTAAACTCCTTATCAAACCAGAATCCAAAGTCAGAGTTTTCCTCCTCCTCAATAAATCTGGTAGCCACCCTCCCTCACTCCTGTTAGAGGAAAGCTGTCCTAAAGTAAATCAGATCAGACATGACTTGGGAGGAAATTGGTTGGGTTTGTTTGTTTGTCTTTGTTTTGTCCTGAGAACATTTAAAATATAGCAAATCTGAATGGTAGACATTTGACATTACATGTCGTTGTGTTTTTTTCTTACCTATATATCCTTATTATAGAGCTGAAGAAAGGTAGCTTGGTCCCTAACAGGCACTCAGTGTTACCATTACTTCCGTGAGTTTGGTTTTCTTTTGTCTTTTTATGAGACAGAGTTTCTCTATTTAACATGCCTGGCTGGCCTGGAACTTGCTTTGTAGACCAGACTGGCCTCGAACTCACTGGCCTCAAACTCACATGTCTATACCTCCCAAGGGCTGGGATCAAAGATGTGCACTACCACCACCCCACTTGTTTGTCTCTTTTAAAACATTTTTATTTAACAACAATCACAGTAATACTTTTTATAGAAAGATCATGTTAAACTAAGAACCTCATATTGTTAGTGTACATAATAGTTTATATTTTTATATATACACACAATTCATTTGTAACCTAGAATTTTCTGTTGAACATTTGCTACAAGTCAACAAATTATATTTCTTATGTCCTACTCTACTTAAATCCTAAATGTTAATGGGTTTCTTTCACCACATTTCCTTGGATGAATGTGTAAACCAGCAGGCTTTTATTAATTAGTTCTTTAGGGTCTGTATTAGTTTGCCTTCTCATTGCTGTGACCTGGTAGGAAAAAAACCGAGGGAATTTCCATTTCTCTTGACTCTTGGTTTCAAAGGGTCATGGTGTCTGTTGGTGGTTGCTTGACTCCTGCACTTGGGGTAGAACATCATCACAGAGGGAAAGTGTGGTTGAGAATTTTAAAAATATTTTTTATCTTTGAGAATTCCATATATTCCTATCATATTCTTGCCCCTCCTTAATTTCTTCCAGATTTCCCACCTCCCTACTCACCAACTTCATGTTCTTTCTTAAAAAAGAAAGGAAAGAAAAAAAAAAAAAAACACGAAGTCCAGTGACTTTTCCTCCAACTAGTTCCTACCTCCTGCTTGCACAAATTCCTGAATCCTTCAAGGGATTAATCTGCCATTTGATCATAGTCTTTGTGATCTGATATTCTTTGGGGATGTAGTCACAAACATACCTAGAACTATGCTTCACGAATTCCCTGGGCACTTTTTTTTTTTTCCCATTTTTCTTTTTCTCTCATGGATTCATTGATTTATCAGCTGTTCAGTGAGATAGTTGGAGGAGTATGAAAAAGCTACAGATGAACCCACCAAAAATCTCAGAGTAGAAGAGAAGCTTGTGTTTAGTGGGCATTCCTGATTCTGTCACATTGTGAAAGAGGGCCAACTGTGTTCAGGATTAACCCGGCATCCTGCTCTGGAAACTCTTCATGAGTTTCCACAAAGGAGAGGCCACTTGGCTCTGTTTCTATGCATTTCTTAATCCAGTGACATTGGCAGTCAGAATTAACTACCACAGGATCTGTTTATTTTTCCTAGTCTTAAGTCTGTGTAGACCATTTCTTCTTTAATGGTGATATATAAACACAAATTCTAGAACCAGCTCAGCATTCTCAGTGCCTAATTGTAATTCCAGTAATCACAAATTTGAGGCCAGCTGGGCTGCACAGCAAGACTGTTCCCTCTCAAAACACTAAAACTAACAAGTGGGTTATTTTGCATTATTTGTCCATCTGCCTCATTAGCTAGAAAATTTGACATTTTTAGGTTTTTTTCCTCAGATAATTTAGAGTTATCAGTATTTTATGGTTGCTTTTTTTTTCTTTTTAAGCTTTATTGTTTTTTTATTCTTGAACTAGAACCTTATGCATGTCTGTCAAAGACTACGACTGAGTTACATTTCCAGCCCAGTGCTATGCCTCTAACTACGTGTATTGAGTAGAAACTGTTTTCAAAGTTAAATTTCAAAGATGACAACAAACTTCTAAGTAAATTGTTTTCTAATAACATTGCGTTTTCTATCTTGGTTTTCCAGCTATACGATTTTATTTCATATATCAGTTTTAATAATGTGCTTGTTAATAGAAACATGCTTGTTGTCCTAGTATGATAGGTGATGATGAAGATGCCTTTAGCGACTCAGAAGCTAATGAAGTCATGACTCCAGATGTCTTAGCTAAGAAGTAAGTACTAAAGAATTTCCTGTAGAGAGTTTTAATTGTACAAAGTCAAAGACATGTGCCGTGTTCTACTATACATTTGTAAATAAAAGGCTAAGCTTATTAGGTTTGGGTGTTTACTGACAATTGAACCCAGGGCTTGCTTTACCACTGAGTAAGATCCCTAGCCCCTTAACTAGATTTTTAAAGCAATTACTAAAATCTTGATTCTTGATTAATATTAATGTAATATTAATCAAGGGTTGGAGTGCCTGAACCTGGGAGTATGTCAGTCTGTTTTTCTTTTGTGGTGGTGGTATTTTTAAATATCTTGACACATACATGGTTAAAGATATGAGAAAGGCAAACATACGTTACTGTTGTTCTTTGATTTCTAGCACCCACTCTGCTGTCCTTGTTGCTTACTGGTCTCTATATCCATTCCTTCTCTTTTGTTTTCTTCATCAGTTATGGCTAGAATATTTATTGATTATTTTGGGGTATTTTCATGACTCAAGTTGAATGGGACATTTAAAGAGTACAAGTATATCACAGTTACTAATTTCTTCATAAATATTGTATAGATTAGCTGCTGCTGAAGGTGCAGAGCCGAAGTATCGGTCTCGGGAACATGAGAGCAGTGGAGAGGAAGATAATGACCTCTCCCCTGAAGAGAGAGGTAGGTTATTCCTTCAGCTGCCTTCAGTATGATGCTAATAATTTTTGTTAAAATAAATCTATTTGGGAGATTGGACAATTTCATATTTGCCAAGTAGTGGGCAGAAAATAGAAAGCAATAGAAAATAGAATCTGCTATTCAGATTCTACATGTGAGTTTTTCAGATAGTAGTATTTCCCACCAATTAGAATGTAGAAGAAATACTGCCATCTTCCAAGTATTTGTCAACATTCCTTTCTTTGTATTTTGTTTTGTGACCGATAAAAAGAAGATATCTGTAGCTACTTTTGAAATGAATGCTTTTAGTGTCATTGAGTATTCTAATGATCTCCAAGTGGATAGATTGCCTCATTGTGCCTTTTCTGTTTCAAGATAGCAATGCAGGATTGGGGATGTAGTTGGGAGAGTGCTTACCGAGCATGCACAGAGCCCTGAGTTTGAGCTCTGGCATCAAACAATACTTGAGTGGTAGAGGCAGGAAGATCAGAAGGTCATAACCTCATTCTTGTCTGTGTAGTAATTGCATGGTCATTCTGAACCACTTGAGGAAAAAAAAAAAAAAAAGACAGTGAAATTTATCCAGAGAACCAAGATGGTAAAATAATGAAAATTTATATATGTCTCATGGAGCAGAGGGTAGTGATGTCCTAGAAGAGAAGCTAGAGAAGCCCTCATTGCAGGGTGGAAGGCTCTTGTGCTCCAGACAGAGCATGGGTAGTTAAGTGTGAGGCATTACTTACTGCTTTTATGTGTTTTGTTTGCATAGAACCCTGGTCAGATAGGAATGTTTTATCTTGCTGTTTTTTTTTTTTTTTTTTTTTTTTTTTTTTTTTTTTTTTTTTTTTTGAGCCATGTGACTGTGTCATCTTTTCAAGATAAAATTGGACTGGAGAGATTGCTCAGTGGTTAAGAGTGTGTACTTCTTTTCCAGGGGAACCCAAGTTCAGATCCCATCACCCCTGTCAGATGAGTCACAACTGCTGTTAACTCCAGCCTTGGGCACACACAAACACAATTTAAAAAATAATCTTGTTAGTTTTTCAAGTCAGGGTTTCTCTGTTTTACTCTAACTATCCTGGAACTCACTCTGTAGACCAGGCTGGCCTTGAACTCAGAGATGGCTCCTGCCTCTTCACTAGGATTAAAGCTTTGTACCACCAGTGCCCAGCTAAAATATAAATATTTAAAAGAATATAAAATATCTAGTTGGCCATTGGTATCTGCAGGTTTTAACCAATGATTATTCATAAGCAATGGAGGGAAGAAAAATGAGCCCAAACTGAACAAGGATAGACATGTTTGTCATGTCATTATTCCCTAACAATACAACACAGCAACTATTTTCATAGCATTTAGCCTAGAAATGACTGAACATATAAAGTATGTGTGAAGGTTATATGCAAATACTATACTATTATACATGAAAGGTTTGAACATACATAGACTCTGGTGCCCTTAGGTATACAGGATCCAATCCCTCAGGTACTGAAGGACAACTTATATATAGTTGTCCCATTCTCTCTTTTGGGGGGGTTGGGGAGTTTGAGACAAGAGTTTCTCTGCGTAGCTCTGCCTATTCTGGAACTCACTCTGTAAACCAGGTTTGTCTGGTGTGCCACTATCACCCTGAGTGTCCCATCCTCTTGTAAAAAATAATCAAAAGCTCAGATGTAGTTTAGTGGTAGAACAATTGGGTAGCACTAGTGAGGACTGTTTGGCAGAATCTCAGCCCAAGCCCATTATCAGCATTAGAGAGAATATGACAATAAATAGCACAAGGGGCCCTTGAGGAGGGTTTCAAATAAAAATTGTTTCTAGGTTTTTCCATATTCTCCTAAAACTTTTTATCTATTAAGCATGGGGGTTTTATTGACCTACACTATCAGTTCTCATTAAGGGTAATTATCCATCAGTTTGTAGTTCCATGAGTTTAACTGCAGGGGGTACTATTTGACCTATTAATATAATTTTAAGTGATTTCCTACAAGTAGAATTACTAAAATATAGATATTTTTCACTTTAATTACATGGCTGGAAAACATTTTGAATTTACAGATGTCCTTTGTTGTTGTTGTTGTTTTGTTTCGTTTTTTTGAGACAAGGTCTTACACAGTAGCCTAGTCTGGCCTTAAACTTACAGTAATCCTCTGCCTGGGCCCTCTCCAGGACTGGGCTTATAGCTAACAATGAATGTTACTTTTTAAACACTTTATTTTATGTGTTTATATGAGCATTTGAGCCAGCACATGAGAAGGTCAGAAGACAGCTAATAGTTTTCTACTATGTGAGATCTGGGGATTGAACTCAGGTCATTAGACTTGGCAGCAAGCACTTTCACCTGCTGAGCCATTTAGCCAGCCCAGATGGCCTCACTAAGTAGCACTGGCTGTCCTGGAACTCACTAGGTAAACCAGGCTGGCCTCAGACTCAGAGATCTGCCTGCCCCTGCCTCATGAGTACTACCTCCCAGGTACTGGATTAAAAGTATGCGCCACTATACTTGGCTAGCCCAGTCTTCTTAAGATAAATCTAACGTATAGCACAGTAATTAAAATTGCTAGCTGTGGACCCTGAGAAATAGTTGCCTAATTTTCCAGAGCCTCTAGTCCTTATTTACTAAATTGGGAAATATTAAAAAAAAAAATTTAGTTCTGTGTTTGGCAGTATATACCTGTAGTATAGAGACTTAGGCTGGGGCATGATGATCTATTGAGCCCTCAAGTTCAGGCCCAACCTGGAAAGTTAAGTGAAATCCCCATCTCAAACAGACTTTAAGCTGTTGGTGGTTATTAAATGAAATGGAGTATTTAATTCACTTAGCACTGGTCATTTTGTATTCTAATTGGTAAGTAAATAATAACTTAATAACTTAAAATATACAAGATATTCATAAAAGTAGATATAAAAAGAATAATAGCCTTGTTGAGTTCATATAGTTTGTAAAACCTAAATATGCTTTTATTTTTTGTACTATGTTACTTTACTTTGTAGAATTGCAAAACTAATAATAATCAAAAGAGGATTAAGGGGACTGGAGAGATGGCGCAGAGGTTAAGAGCACCTGCCCTTCCAAATGTTCTGAGTTCAATTCTCAGCAACCATGTGGAGCTAGCAACCATCTATAATGAGATTTCGTGCCCTCTTCTGGTGCGAAGGTATATATGCAGGCAGAACATTGCATATATAATAAATAAATCTTTTTTTTTTTTAAAGATGATTAAGGGATTGAGAATGTGATTCAGTTGATAGAGTCCTTGCCTAGCATGCAAAAAGCTCTGGACTCAATCCTAGCACTGCATAAAGTGGCCATGGTGGCACAGGCCTTTAATGCCCAGCTCTAGGAAGGAAGAGGAAAGAGGATCAGAAGCTCAAGGTTATCTTTGCTTCCTTGTGTATTAGAGGCTAGCCTGGGGTGCCTGAAACCTGTCAAAGAGAAAAGAAAAAGAAGATTGAGACCACTTATGTTAGCTCTCTGTGCAATGTGATTTTATAAATTGTGTGTGTACCTACATGTGGGTGTCTGGGGAGGATGTCCACCCTTGGAAGCTCCCACCTTATTTTCATACTGGGATTGGGACTCACTGATTAGGCTGAGCCCAATGACCAGGTTCTGCCTAATACAGCTGCCCAGCACTAGGATTACTAATGTGCAACATCATGCCTAGTTTACTTGGGTGCTGGGGATCAAACTCATGCTTCTCTGGCAAGCATTTACCTATTCAGGTGATTTCCCAGTTCCTATTTTACAGAGGTTTTTGTTTTGTTGTTGTTGTTGTTGTTGTTTTGCTTGCTTGCTTGCTTGTTTCTTTGTTTAATATATTTTGCCTATGTTTATATATGTGTTTCATGTGTGCCTGGTACCTGTGGAGTTTAGAAGAAGGCATTAGATCCACTGAAAATGGGCTATAGACAGTTGTGAGCCACCATGTGGGTCCTGGGACCTGAATCTCTGATCATCTGCAATAGTAAATGCTTAAAAACTAAGATGTCTCTAGCCCCTCTATAGATTTTTAGATTATATAACTTAGAATAAGACATTTCTTTGACTGTATATAGTTCACAAATAGAAATACTATAATATCAACTCCTAGGAATAAGAACCTAGGAATTAGACCTATAAGATTATAGAAGCTGGGAGTTAATTCAGCACTAGGGATAATCTCAGAACTTGGAGGCAAAATTAGATTGATTGCTAAGAGTTCAAGGCCATGCTGGTCCAAATAGTGAGTTCCAGGTCAGCTGGGGTTGATAGTGAGACCTTGTGTCAAAAAACCAAACCAAACAAAATAGCATTATGGAACTTTGTTTTGCTGGGCACTCACTGATAAGATTGCTTAATATACTTGAGCCCAGGATTCAATCCCCCAGTACTACAAAGGTGGGGGAGGTCAATTTTGTTTTTAGTGTGAATATGGGAAAGTAGGCTACTAATATTCTGTGGATAAGTATAAGAACTGTTTCCGGCATTTAAAAGTATTACCAGTGCCTATTTAGTACATATACATATAAATGACAAAAGTGAAATCATCACAAAACATTACTTACCTTAATGTTTTGGATCATTTATGTAGCTCATCTTTTTAAATATTTTGTGGCTTATAAAGAGTAATGTGCATTTGTAAGACAGATTTGTATTCAGAAAATAATATTAATAGAATACACAAAAACTATATAAAATATATCATTAAAAAGTTGACAAGATAGTGAGAAATCAGAAACCTTTGGCTTAGAGTAGATAATTTTAATTCACTACCTTAAAACTAAATATTTTACAAAGTTGAAATGATCACTGAGTTTATCCTGGATAAACTTGGATATGTTAACAACATAGTTAAGAGCAGAAACAAGCTACTGTAAAAATATTTTTTTCTTTTTTAAATTAATTTTTATTTAAATTAAAAATGTTATTTTACATATCAATCCCAGTTCCCACTCCCTCCTGTCCTCCTATTCCCACCACCAACCCCCCCATCCCATTCACGCCTCAGGGAGGGTGAGGCCTCCCAGGGGGATCATCAAAGTCTGTCACATTATTTGGTGCAGTACCCAGGTCCTCCCCTAGCCCTCCATAGGGAATGAGCTCCTAGTAAAAAATATATTTTTAGAAGAAAGGTCTAGCTAAAAATGTTAGTAATCTCTGTGTGTCTGTCTTGCTTTGTTTTGTTGTAGTGAGAGGCTTAGATTGATAAATACCAGGCAAGGAATCTGGCCACCTCTATCTCCCAAATTTGAGTGACGAAATTGGAAGTAATTTTCTTTTATAGTTTCTTAGTGATATTACTTTGGTGAGTAAAGGTATGGGTGGATATTACCTTTGTCTTCACATTATCTGGATATTTAGAGATGTCTAACTACTCTGGTACATGCCTGTGTTACCTAGTTACAAAGTAGGCTGAGATAGGAATGCTGGGCCCATGATATCAATACCAGTTTGGGCAATGTGGTGAGATGACATCTACCCTCCCCCATCTCAAAAGTGGTTTTTTGTTTTTGTGTGTTGTCTTTTTGAGACTGGGTTTCTCTATGTAGCTCTAGCTGTCCTGAGATCTTTCTGCTTATGCTTCCCAAGTCCTGGGATTAAGGTGTTATGCCACTACCATCTGGCTCAGAATTTTTTAAGTACAAGAAAAGAAATAATGACTGACAGATCTTGGTAATAATCAAATTATACCACCTGGGAACTGGATCATATTAAGAAAGAACTTTGAATATCCTTATTTTGGTGATAGCTGTACTATTTTGAAATTCAAATCATTAATAAGGCAAGAATGATGGAATTTTAATTCTTTTCACTAACAGCTTTTTCTTATTAACTTATTTTAAAGTTACTTTCATGTGTATAAGTATTTGCCTACATTGTATGTATGTGTACTACATGTGTGCCTACTGTCCACAAAGGCCAGAAGAGAGCAATGGAACTGTGAGGTTACTGATGGTCCTGAGCTCACATGGTGGGTGCTAGGGATTGAACCTGTCCTCTATAAGAGGCAGCAAGTGCTCTTAACCAATGAGCCATCTCTCAGGTCCCTTTACTTTATTTTTTACATTTGCAAAATGTGCCAGCTATGGGATGTTTGACTTTTTGTATGGGTTCAAATCTTAGAGTTATTTCTTATTTCTTCATGAATAGTTCATGACATTCTGTAGGTAAAATGTGGCAGTTGTGTTGAATTGCCACTAATTATGTTTCTAAAGTCATAGTAGTTTTTTTTTAAATGATAGGGACTTTTAAAAGGATATTTTTCTTGTGAAAGTAGAAGTCATAATCAGGTGTGGTGAGTGCCTGTTTTGTTTTTATTAGTTTGTTTACACATTTTATTTATTCTATACTCGAGTGGTATGCATGCTCAAGTGGAGGGCAGAGGACAACCTTCAGGAAATGATCTTTCACCATGCAGCCAAATGTGCTGTCTTGCCAGCCCTGGTGCATGCCTATACCATTAGCATTTGAGAGGCAGAAGAATTGGGAGATGGGGGACATCCTAGGCTGCATAGAGAAGCCGTGGGGTTTGTGCACTCTTCATACATATGATTATAGTTTACCTTTTGCCTCCCATTCAACTGTTGCTACAGAGTTTTATATCTTTAAATTTTCTTCACATAATTTCTGTTGACTTTGTCCATTCCTATTCATTGATTGGGGTGTATACTTGAATCATAAAGTCAATATTTTAGATTTTGTGGGCTGTATAGTCTTATTACAAACTACCTGACTCTGCCATTGAGCACAAAAATAGTCTTCAACTGAAAACAAAAACATTTAAGTAAATTTAAGCCAATATTACTGCATTGCTGTAAGACTGACAGAACAGGCCTGACCAGTCCCCAGATTGAGACCTTGTGAGCTCACAGTGTACTTTCAAATCTTTTATAGAAAAGAAACGACAGTTTGAAATGAAAAGGAAGCTTCACTACAACGAAGGACTGAATATTAAGTTAGCTAGACAGTTAATTTCAAAAGACCTGCATGATGATGACGAAGATGAAGAGATGTCTGAGACTGCAGATGGAGACAGCATGAATATTGAAGAGTCAAATCAAGGTCAGACGCCTTAAAAGTGTCACTGACATTGGAACATGTGTTATATGTTTTTTTATTTACTTGACTTTAAAGATTTGCTTGACTATATGAAGTCATGCTTTATTTAACAAGAAAATCTAAATTAAAGCTTAAAACTTTTTTACTTGTTTTTGTTGTTTTGTAGTGTTGAAAACTGAACCCAGAGCCTCACACAGACTATTAGAACTCATTTAAAGAAAGTGGTTTTTATTTTGTTTTTTTTGTTGTTGTTGAGGAGTATTGTTTGTGGGTATTTTTATGGGTTTTGGATTTTGGTGACATGGTCTTGTCCTATAACACATGCTAACCTTGAAATCACTATAGTCTTTGTCTCAGTCTCCCAAGTACTGTAATGACAAACAACTGCCATATCTTCTCAAAGACCATGTTTTTTATATAGATTTGTTTTGACATTCTCCTAGGTACAAGTGTGTCATCTTTGTAGTGTTCGTGTTGTTTACTAAAATGACTAGTTGCTTGTTTGTTTCTTTTTTTCTTTTTCTTAATTTTAATTGAGATAGAACCAAGCCATGAAGTCTACAAGAACTTCACTCCAGCTGCCTCAGCCCTCAAGCACTGGGTTCTAGGTGTTCACCATCACATCCAACTTTTCTTTCATTCTCTCTTTTTCTTAAGTCTAGACTACTTTATACAGCCTGTCAATTAATAGTCATAGAAAATATGTTTTATTTCATTTGTTTTTGAGGTACAGGACAAAATCCAGGGCCTTGTATATATCTACCACTGAAGTATATACCCCTAATTCTCATCATCTATTATTCTATGTTTAACAAAAGTGAACCAGGTATGTAGTATTACACATCTGTAATCCAGTACTAATGTTGTCTTCAGGAATGCTGTGAGTTCAGGTCAGCCAGGATTTTAGAGCATGGCCTGTCTAAAAAATGTAGTGACTGTTCTACCCCACTGTTGAGGATATTGTGTGTATTCACTACCTTTTCTTTGTACTTGTAAGCTGATGGGTTTTTGTGGGGGGGAGTTGTTGTTTTGATTTTGTTTTTTTGGTGGCAGTATAATTTATCTGTTGTGCCTAAACTGGTTCAAGTAAATTGTTGTTATATTTTAATGCATAGTATGAAATAGAAGTGATTCTGTGATATGAGATGGTAAATCATTGTCGAATTACAGTGTCAGGATTACAGTATTTAACTCTTGAACAAACTTCATCCTAGTAATTGTTAAATCTTTCTTTTCCTAGTATCTATTTTTAATTGATCAAAAAGTAGGGGCTGGGTATACTTCAGAGGTAGAGCACTCACAAACATAATGTCTCCTAATTGCCCTGAAGTCTTTGTTTCCCACCCCAGGCTCCCCCCCCCCCCAAGTACTCCAGGAACTTCTCATCAGCTTCATTCAGACTTTAACTTTTGCTGTGAGCTCTTGGTATGTGGTAACAAGTTGGGAACACTCCTTGTTTGCTAATGAAATTGTTTACCCAACTCAACACAAGTTGTAAAAATAAAGAAAAATCACTCTCTCCCTCCTCCCCCTTTCCCCATAGCTTTTTTTTTAAGAGGCATTTTTAATTTATTATTTGAGAATTTTATGTGTATTTTATGTGTATGTATTGTATTTATCCACTCGCCAGGTCTGCTAACTCCTCCCAGAGTACTTCCAGTCACATCCCCTCCCAACTTAACTCTCTCTCAACCCTCTGAATCCAATTCATCCATGTCATCCACTGGGACATGGGCAACATATGAGAGCCCACATCTCTGAAGAAAACTGACTCCCCCAGTAGCCCATCAACTGCCAATGTCTCCTCTGTTAGGGGTGGGGAGTTTTGTGACCCCCTCCTCCATCCATAGAGGAATGTTGGCTGGTTTGATGTTGCGTGGGCAACCATAGATGCTCAGAGTTCCTGAGTAAGATGGCCCTGTTATGTGCAGAAGACACTATTCCCAGCTGTCCTCCCCAGCTTTTGGTTTTTGCCAGTCTTCTGTGTTCTCTGAGTCTTGAGGGGGTGACAAAGATGTCCCTTTTAGGGCTGCAGTCCATGTGATCACTTACTCTCTGTACTGTGACCAATTGTGAGTCTTGTATTAAGCACTGTCTGCTACATAAGGAAGCTTCTCTGGTGAGGGGTGAGACTGCCCTAATCTGTCTAATGGCTCTTGAAAATTAACTTTCTTTTGTTCATCTCTGCTTATAAGACATTAAACTTTATAGACTATATATAGAGATTATTTTCCCAAGCAAGTATACTAGAATATGAAATTTTATGTTAGTTCATCTCTTCTTTTCCCTCTTCTTCCTTCTTTTTGCTTCATTCCTCTGTTTATTTCTGCACTAAGAATGAAGTGTTTGGACTCTGAAGTTAGTATTTTAAAGTTACCAGGTAATGTGAAAATTTTTTAGTACCAGGTAGTTGGAACTATAAAACTTAACTTTCCTCCTGTGATTATTCAAACCAGTGTCCATTCTGAAACCTATTTATCCTGTCTACACATATATTCCTAATTTAGCCTACATGAAACACACCTTACTGATTTATTAAAGTTTTACATTTGCTTATTATCCATGCCAGGGGAAGAGTGTTTAAACTCAGGTAGATAATTTCAGGGTTGTCATAGTTGTTCTTTGCTTTGATAAATACCTGAGGGAACAACATAAGAGGATTGCAGGGAGGGGCTCACAGTTTCTGAGTTTTCAGTCAGTGCTTATTGGCTCTGTCCCCATAGACCTGTGGTGAGACAGAGTGCATGCATCATGGTGACCAGGAAGCAAGGGGTGGCCAGGGCACAATATAGCCACTGTGATAGTGTCCTATTCCTCTAGCTTAAGCTCTATCTCATTTCTAGTACCTCTCTAAGTAGAATTGACCCCTTAGCACATGAGCCTGTAGACAGATCATATTCAAACCATAATAGCAAATTATACTGATTTTTTTCCCTCCTTTTATCTTTGCAGGATCTACCGCAAGTGGCCATCTGCAAAACAAATCACAAAGTTCATAAAAGAAATGTGTTCAGCAATGCAGTCGTTTGTCAAATACAAACCTTGTTACTATACAACATTGCTTCTTGTTCTCTACAATTTGTGACTTACGTACCAAAATACACACCAGTTATATATTGCCAAGAATTAAGTGATAACCATAGAGACTGATTAGACAGAAAATGCCTAATTAATGCATATATTCTTGTGCCTCATACTTCAGCAGAAATACAGTGTAATGTCATTAGTCCAAAACTGCTTTACTTTTGTAAGAACACTGGTTAATTTGTATATGATATTATATAGCTTTTTATGCTTTAGAGAATAAATAATGTCATTGGGGGAAACTAATTTATTTTTGTCACTTCTAGATGATGATACCTCTTATAAAATGTTTGGAGGGTAGTTTGATGTTTTTTCTCTTTTAATCAAAAGCTTATTGGTACAGTGGGATATATAGGTGGAAAATATTAAGCAGAAAGATATTTTTTTTAACATTTATCTTTAGCTTGTTTTGGCTAATTGAGCAGGAGTCCAAGAGTTAACTGTTCTTTTTCTGATTGATGACCTTTAAAATTCCTGTTGATTTTCTTTGTTCTAGAAAGGAAAGGAATGAATTTTTTTTCATCCAAACTGGTTTCCCCCACTCCCAACCACACTGAAATGAATTACCGGGTTAAGGTTGCACTGACATCTGCCCTGCTTGTTTTGTTACACTGGTCAGGCTTCAGTTGAGGTTTGTAATGCCATGTGCTATTTCAGCGCTCCTTTATTTATGTACCTGTCTTAACCTGCTCTAGTTCCCTATTCCCCTCTGCCTTTACACATACAATTGTAAAGATTGTATCACAGATGGCAAAGGCCGTTGGCCATGAGGAACTGGTCTTCCCTCACATATTCTGTCATTTGCTGCAGTAATGAATTCTTATTAATTATGTTGACACCTGCTAGTTCTAAACATGAAGGAAATAGATGAAGTATTCACGACAGGAAGGATAGCTAAGCAGCCTGATCTCCCTGTGCCTCTCTGATTGACAGCTTGGTCAGGAAATTTGCTACTATTACTGCATTTGACTTCAGATTTAGGAAACAATTAACTGAGGCTCTTTTGCACGGTGAAAGAGTTGTATGTAATCAGAATTTGATCGTTCCTGGATGTACAGAGAGAATTATGCCTGAACAGTTTTACGTTTAGAGATTCTGAGGAGTCATTGCTTTAAGGGAATGTGATAATGCACACTATAACAAATGAACTTGATTCCTCTAACGTGATAGAAATTATTTTGATTTTTTTTTTCCCCTGAGAGGAAAAGTGTAGTTCCTGTGTGTCTTAGTTTAGTGATGATTTCCTTTGTAGTCATTTATTTGTATTGTAAGTTTTTGGTAGCACCAAATAAATCTGTTATATGACAGACTTTTAAAATAACTTCTGTATATTATATATATGAAATGGCTTTTATTGAACAGCTATCTTCCACTTTAAATTTATGGAACTATCATGATGTCAAAATAAAGTGGGAAGAGCCTTTGCTGTTAGAAGAATGTGCTTATTTGGAATGTCTTTTTTTTTTTATGGGATCGAACCAGAGTAGCTCTGAAATGTTAGTACCATATTTTAACCAAACATTTTAGCTAGTGAACCACTGATGTACACACTCAGCAATGTATACCTCATCTTTGTAAATTAAGCCCGTTTGTGGGGTGTGGAAATACAGTCTGTATATATGTATGTGAATATGTCCATGTGCCCAGACCTCTCTTTTAGTTTTATCTTTTTGTTCCTTTTATTTGTGTGTGTGTGTGTGTGTGTGTGTGTGTGTGTGTGTGTGTGTGTGTGTAGGGGTGCCTACAATGTAAGTCTGTGTACCACTTGCATGCAGTGCCTCTGGGAACCAAAGGAAGGCGTCTTGGATCACCTGGAACTGGAGTTATGGATAGTTATGATCTATGTGGGCTTAGGGAATTGAACCGAGGTCCTCTTCGGAGAGCTGTCAGTGCTCTTAATTGCTGAGCCATCCCTCTGCTCTTATTTCATACTTAGAAAGTATCCAACTACACTTTATATCTGTAGAAGTGGCCTATTGTACAGTGAAGAAAGGTAAGACTTAAGCATCTGATTCTTCGTGTTTTTTATAAACTTTCTTAAAACCTAAAGTCACAAGTAAGATCTGGTTTCACAAAGAAGATAATTACTCAGAGGAGTTTGATAGGCCTAATATAATTGTACATCTGTAGGATTTTAGATAGTCAAATACAACTAAATAAAAAATGTTCTTCCAGGTCATTAGAGAGCTGTCTCAGTAGAATGCTTACTATGTGAGCATAAGGACCTGAGTTTGTATCCCCCAGCACCCAAAAAGCTACATATGGCCATACATGCCTAATTCTAGAGCTAGGGGGGCAGAGATAGCTGCATCCCTGGAGCTTGCTATCCAGCCAACCTAGCTAAATCAGTGAGCTCCCAGGTTCAGTGAGACCCTGTCTCAGAAAATAGGGCTGAGGGTGGTTGAAGAGGACACCTAGCGTCTATCTGTGGCCTCCATGAGCACGTGCACAAGAGCATGAAGACACACCACAGAATAATCAAGTCCTGGGATTGATCCCACATCTCCAACGGAGGAGTAGTTGAGACTGGGTCATAAAGCTTGCCACATAAGCCAAATAACCAGAGTTTGGTCCCCAGAGTTATGGTCAGAGGAGAGAACCAAAAGTTGCCCTCTGATCTCTACATATATGCCGTGGCATGCAGGCTGCCTATTGGATGTGTGTGTCGCATGAATACACATACATGTACTTACTTGCTACTGGGTATGTTCTTTTGTAAAAAAAAAATTTACCTTTATTTCCTCTGCTTAACACTTTTATATCCCAGTTTAATCATTAACCCATCACAAAGTCCGTGGGGATAGTAGTTTAAAACATGAGCCATATTAGTGTTTAAGTTGAAGGGTATAGCAAGATGCTATTTCCCCCTAAACTTACATTTTTAAATTATTTCCTTTGTTGGAATGCACTATTAATTGGAGGATCACAACTTAAAGGCTAACCTGGGCAACACAGACTATGTCTCATGAAGAGAAAAAATAAAAGGTTGAAATTATTAAGAACTACCATTTATTGAGAACCTTTTTACTCTTTTCCAGCATTGTATTAGGCTCTTATTGCTAATCCTCAAGACCACAGAAAGCAGGCATTCTACCCTTTGCAAGTGAAGAAAATACTCGCATTAAAGCTGTTCAGTTTCGATGGGTGGTGGTGGCACAGGCCTTTGGTCCCATCACTTGGGAGGCAGGGGCAGGCGGATCTCTGTGAGTTGGAGACCAGCCTGGTCTACAAGAGCTAGTTCTAGGACAGGCTCCAAAGCTACACAGGAAAACCCTGTCTCATAAAACAAAAATAATAATAAAAGCTGTTTAGTTTCCGACTTTTGTACCTGCAAAATGGTAGGTTTCAAATCCAGAGCTGACCAAATTTTATGAACCTCGATCTATGCATATTTAGATACAGACAATGCATTTTTTAGCATTTGTACGTTACAGATAGCCTTAGGTCGGTGGTGCATACTGTCTCCCATGGAAGGAATGTTTCTCAAGTAGTTTTGAGTTTGTTTTTGTTTGGGTGGGTGGATGTGTGTTCTTGTGAATCCAGATGCTCGTTCACTTGGGCATGTGTGCATGTAGAGACCAGAGGTCAGTTTTGAGTGTCATTCTTCAGGAGCCATCCAGGTTAGTGACCTGGATCTCACAGAGTAGGTTTCCTGGCAGTGAGACCCAGGAGATTTGCCTGTCTCTGCTAGTGCTGGTCTTAAATAGCGAATGCCTACCTTGCTTGCTTGTTCTATCTCTTCCCACCCTCCCTCCCTCCCTCCCTCCATCCCTCCATCCCCTCCCTCCCTCCCTCCCTCAGTGTGGGTTATGTAGCTCAAACTCAGGTGCTTGTGATTACAAGTCAGGTATTTCACCCACTGAGCTATCTCCCTGACTTTTTCAAATCTGAAAAATAGAAAGTTTATATAATAGGTGTATGTATAGGAATATTTAGGAAAATAATAAACATGTATGCTTGATGGCTGGACATTGGTTATATTCTACATGCTTTTTAACCATACTCTTAAATCACTCAGAATCGTGATTCCCTCCCCCCACCACCACCACCATAGAGTCAGTATTTTAAATTCAGGTACCATGAGGCTTTTATTATGTATTTACATGCTTAAAAAGCCATTGACAAAAACAAACATCATAAAAGTCTTGGAGAGGAGCCAGGCATTGGTGGTGCACACCTTTAATCCCAGCAATTGGGAAGCAAAGGCAGGCGGATCCCTGTGAGTTCGAGGCCAGCCTGGTCTCCAGAGCGAGTGCCAGGATAGATTCCAAAGCTACACAGAGAAACCCTGTCTCAAAAAAACAAAAATAAATGAAATAAATAAATAAATTCAGGTACCATGTTGACTTAATATGTGGGCTGGGGAGATGGCTCAGCAGTTTAAGAGCACTGCAGAGGACCCAGGTTCAATTCCCAGCACCCACGTGATTGATGACTCACACCCATTTGTAGCTCTAGTTCCAGGGGCTTTGACACCCTCTTCTGGAAAGCTACCCAGACATAGGGTACACAGACAAAATACCTGTATGTATAAGATTTAAAAAAAAGTGTGGGGGATGGTAGGGAAGGAAGGGAGGGAGAAGGGAACTGGGATTGTCATGTAATTCAATCTTGTTTGTAATTCAAAGAAAAAAAGTACTTAAACCAGCAGTTCCCAATGTGCTCTTATCAAATTTTCATTCCACAAGATGTCCCATGAAAAGAATTCCATGAGCAAGTAAGCTTTATACTTGATAAATACTTTACCTCCTTGGAAAATTATATGTTCCCATATTCTAGGGGCTGGGGATAGAGCTTAATGGTAGGACTTCTGTTTAACTTGTTTAAAGCCCCAGTTCAATCCCTAGAGCCAAAAAGAAAGCAAAGAAGGGTCCATAAGACTTACCTAGCTGTGATTCTAGTACTTGGGAAGCTGAGGCAGGATTCCAAAGCCAGCCTGGGTTCTATACTGGGATCCTGCCTCAAGCAAACACCTTTGGTAAATCTTGATTAAAGGAATTTGTTTGAAAATCAATGTAGCACTTTTCAAAAGCATTTTTACAAAAGCCACCCTACCTTGACTATCAGATAACAACCCAAGCAAGGGGCTGGGCCCTACTGGGCTTTATAGAAGATGAGATTGAACCTCAGAGAAAGAGCTAGCTTAGATGTAGTTCGCCAAATGTAAGACTCATTTTCTGTAATTTAAGAAAGGAAACCATAAAGTGAGTTTCTAGGAAGGAAGGGTGGTCACTGGCTGGTTATAGCCATTGTAGTTTAGTGCTGGGTGACTGTACTACTTGCTGGGAAAGTGTAAAATGGCCAGTGGTTCTGAGGCTGATGCTCCTCAGCCTGGTTAGTTGGACTTTTAGTTCCTGTGTTTTTAATTTGTGTTTGACTCATCTTGGTTTTTTTTTTTTTTTTTTTTTTTTTTTTTTTTTTTTTTTTTTTTTTTTTTTTTTTTTTGAGGCATTATTGGGGGAGGTAATGATAAGACTAGGTTAGTGAGGGTGGATTTGGCAACTGTTGAGTCATGATTTTATCACAGCTGCCCAACCTGAAGTTATTTTCAGTGTGAGTCTGCCAGGCATCTTAGTTGTTAGCAATGGGCGTTATTGAAACTGAAAGAGAATTTCTGTAAGTTATTATTGCCCTATTCTTTCTGGGTTGGTGACAATGTTGACTAGAAATAGATTGTGCAGGCTAATTTTTTTTTTTTGGTATCTTTATATCACTTAATCTCACTTTAAGCAAAAACAAGATTATGGAAAGCTTTGCAATATGCTTTTTTGTTAAGTAAAATAAATAGTTCAATGAGAAAATGTGTTACTAGTAAAGAGCCAACAAACATGAAAGTGTAGTTGCTTTTGTTACACTCTGAAGTATTCTTTGCATAAGCAATTACATAAAGTATTTTCTTCTCATCTCTATGTAGAAGAGACACTCTCAGTTGAAAGCTAAGCACTTGTTCTGGGGTGTAGTGCACCATGTCAAGCTAAGTGGAGAAATAGGAGTTTAAGATTCTTTCTCATTTATAAAGATTTTCAAGCTTATGTGTGCATCTCTAGCAAAGGGAGCACTGCCTTGAGAGCAAGGGAGGTGTGAGCGTTTGCTCACTTAGCCATCTGAGGCTTCTTTCCTGGCTTTGTTGTTGTCGTTTTTGTTTTGTTGTTCTTGTTTGTCTTTTAAGATAGTCTCAGTATGTATCTTGGCTGCTCAAGAGCTTGCTGTGTAGACCAAGCTAGTCTCACTCATTGAGATCCCCCTGCCTTTGTCTTCTGAGTGCTAGGATTAAAGGTCTATGCCACCACACCCCAGCAAGATGGGTATTTTATCATTAGCAAGACTGCTACTTAGCATATTTTCATGCAGAATTCCTTAAAACTAAATTAAGATATCTTTAGTCGCCTATCACAAAATTGTTATTAAGCAAAAGAGAACATTGCCATAAAAATAAAAAATTGCAACTCATTTGCTAGTACCACTGCCTTATACAAAGCATAAGATTTCAGAAATTAAAGTACATTTTTGGATTATTGCCCATAAATTTTCTGTCTCTCTAATGTCTAGGTTGGGTTATTGAGGGCCAGGAGGCTAAGAAAGGAGGGTCTTGGTCAAGGCCACAACATGGAAGTCCCACTCCAGTTTAAAGT